CGCGCGGCCGGCAGCCCCCCAGCGGTTGAGATGGCGGCGGGCAGGGGGGTGCGTGGGGCGGCCCGGCGGGTCCCGGCTGCTCTGAAGGGCAGGGTTAGGCCCAGAAGAAGTTTCCCAGGTCTGGGGGAGAGCTGCAGCCACGGCCCTCTGATTTGGCAGTCCGTGCTGCGCTCGAGTGAATGGCGCTGAACGTGGCAGGCTGAAACTCTGGTTCCAAAAAAGAGACAGGGGGTTGAAACACTATTACTTAGTTTTTTTATCTTATTTCCAGACAAAGTTTGACTCGGATAACTTGGAACGCTGGATCAAGGTGAAGTCATTGCACAGTAACTCACTCCAGAGTAAGGTACTCTGTTGTTGTGCATAAAACTCACAAGTCCCACACAAAGCTTGCTGTTGAGCAGTGCTGCAGGTTGTACGTACGGGCAAGTAATAGAAGGGATTTACCCCAGAGCACCTTCTCCTGCATCTACAACCACCCGAGATCAAGGAAAATGAGTTGTAGGTTGAAGCTCCCTTTGTATTACTTCCTTGGTTTTCCCCGTGCTCCCACCCTTCGCCTGCTTCTTGCGGCAGGCAGGAGCGGGCACGGAGCCTCCCAGGCCCCTCTGCAAAGGGAAGAAGCCCCGCAGAGACGCGGGCTGCCTGGGGTACACATGAAAACACAGCGACGCATGAGGACCGTTTACACCTCAGAGAGATGAATGTGGGAGAGAAAATCACTCAGACTATTTACACAGTGGCCAGCCTGGTTATGGCAAAACGCTGATACCAACTTTCATAGTTGGTGGTTGCTGGGGACTAATGCGGCAAGTCTCCATCCAGCCCCCAGGGGCCGGCTGTTTGCATTCTCCCAACGTGTTCTCCACTCACTGTGATTAGCACTAATTGCCAAATGAATGCTTATTACTTAATCATTTCTAAGTCCAATTTCTCCAGTCAATCAAGAGCAGTTGGAGAAACGTGTTTCAAAAGAAATCTGTTTCTTACAACAGCCATACTGTCTTGTGTTCCATTCCCGCTGATGTTTGCTCTCTCTGGAGGAGAAACCTGGATATACGAAGTTTAAAAATTAATATCCAGCAATCCTTAGCAATGTTTTCCTTTCTTTAACTTAAAGAGAGTGGAGCAAGCCTCTGAGTATGCTGTCTCTGAAGCTTTTTCTCTTCAAAAGCCAAGGTATCCACAGGGGCCTTGTGGTCCTGTGACAAGTTTGGAAACCGTGGAACAGCTGCAAGATCATGATGAGGCCCGTGAGGAAGGTGAGCTGAGATACAGCTTCTCACAAGCTGCCTAAAATGAAGTGTTCTTGATTCTGGTTCTGGGCTGAACAGGCTCTTGCAAAGCTTGAGACCATGAGAAACAGTTCATAGCAAGACGTCTTTCGTCTAATGGAGAAAGCATAAGAAGACTCAGTTGCTGGAGTTCAAGGTAGATCTTAATTAGCATACTTAAGAGAAGGATAAGCTCTCTGCTGGAGATTTCAGGTCAAGATGAGGATGAACGCCTTGAAGACACACTGTATGGTCAAATACAAGTTTGTTACTGGACTTTGAAAACAAAACCGTGGTACATTTAAAAAAAAAAAAAAGGGAAGGGAAATTATCTCCCATCAGTGCTAGAAGTACATCTGCAGTGTAAAAAGCTGATAGGAGACAAGATTTTAAAAACCTGAGTTAACTATTCTTTTAAGACTCAGAAGTGAGCCTTACAGAACGGAACGAAGACACGTCTCAAGAGCATCCACCTCAGTACAGGAAGCCAGCTTTTTCACTTGTAATCATCTGGGGTTCATCTAATAGCACAGAATACGCCTCTCTGCTTACGGTGCACTGTCTGAACGCATTGTACAGCGCAGTGGCTCAAAAGGAGCTGGCTTTGCAATTGGTGGAAAAGTTGCTTGCTTTGCTCATGTTTCTGTATTATTTTTGTTTGCCCTTCTCTGCTAGGGTTTTCCTTTTTATAGCTACCAATCCCTCAGGATTGGTCCAAGCTCAGCGGAAAGCCTTTTACCTGGAATCCATTATTAGAATACTTAATGGTATTAACTACACGTAGTCCACTTTGAAAAGAAAGGTATTGATAAGAGAAGTGCAAGGACTCTTTTACTCCGGTTATGAGGAGCTCACATTTCCCAGTCAAAAAAAGTAACCCTTCCCCAAGCGATAAGCTGTTTTTCTCTCTTCTTTCTGTTATCAGATGTATTTCCTTGGTCCTGAGCTGGCCTGAGAGATTATAAAAGAGAACAGAAGTGATTTGAAGGACAATAAACATTAGATTTATGTTTTCTTCAAAAAACCCACCCCTTTTTAAGGAAGTTTTAAAAAGGCTTTATTGCCTTAGAAATACCAGGACTCGATGGGAGCACCAATTTTGTGTTAGAACTAGAGATTTGGAGCAGCTGCTTGCTCCTGTCGGCTGTGTGCCGTTACAGGGGATGACTTGCACTGCAGTGGCTGCTGAAGTCCCTGCTCTTAGCCCATCCTCACCGCACGGGTGGCTCAGGATGGCTCAGCTTCTCGTGGGGCTGCTCCTGATGCCTTGCAGTTTCCAGCCCTGCCTTCTGATTCAGCTTGGCCACCCAGGCAGCGAGGCCAGGTGGAGGCAGCAGCCACGTTAGCCGTCCTTGCTTTTGAGTAGGAACTCTGAAAAAGGGATTTTTGCGTTTTTCCACAGAAAAGTGGAGATGCAAATAAAGTCCACAGAAGAACTTTATGCCTCATTGTTCATTAAGCATTTGAGCTCACTGCATCATGGATGCATTCCTGTAGTTGCGCTCTTAATCCTGAGTACAAGTAGTCCCTGGTGAAGCTTGCCACCTGACAGATTTGTAATCTAGACTCACCAGTTGTTCTTGGAGCTGTGGTACTTGCAAAGGTTAACCTGTACACATGAAGCAAACATTTGTCGAAACAGTGGTTCTCTTTGTATTTAACATATGACAGCCTTGGCTGTTGACACGTGGAAAATATCTAAGTGTCTGCAAGGGCAGTGGTAAAACGTATGAAAGCTATCTGAGTTATGAATTACCTCATGTGAATTCCATCTCCTTGATCTATAATAATCACACAAGTGATCTAAATGTTCACAGAATCTTGTAGGAAAAATGGGGCAGAGAAGAATTCATTTGTGACATATGTGACAGGGAAAACGTTTGCCACCTTCCCTTCCTATTCTTTTATAGATCAAGAAGAGAACTATTAATTAGCCTTATTCCATTTTCTGTTGCAGATCAGCTTTCAGTCATTTTAGACAGCCTTCCCAGCATGTGATATAACTATCCCAGAGACAGAGTCTTGCTAGTTTACACTTACCCATATATTTTTTAAGCAAGTGAAGTCATTAGTCTCTTTCCTCATGATAGCCCGAGAGCTACTCAGTAACTGGATGAAGTCCAAACTGCAACGGGAGCTGATGAGCGATGGAGAAGAGGAAGTTGACTCTGTTCTCCTGGAAAAGCCGCCTGCAGCCCCTCTGAAGTACGAGCGGTTTGATGGTGAGAGCACAACAAAGCAGTTCCTGCCTTTCTTTCTGAGGATGTGCTGGGGAAGGGAGCCAGGCCACATGGCTTGTCAACCTGAGAGGTAAAAGTTGCTTTAAGGCCAGGATAGCAGGCTCAGTAGAAACAAGATTAGAGGTGATGATTTTTCTCCCCCAGCTCTTACTGCAGCTTGCTGTAAGGCTGCACGAATGCACCTCATAAACATTCGATGTCTACCTTTGTAAAAGAAAAAAGTTATTTCTTTTGTGTATGGGTATTTGTGAAGCCTGTCAAATTTATACAGTCATTCGAGGTGCTCAGAGGCAAGGCAGTAAAAAATGGATGAAATGTTACTGCTCTAGCGTGTTCAATGGGAGACTGATTAAGACTCTTTGGGGATAAATGGAGTGCAGTCAGTGTGTCCGCTTTCATCAGAAATGCATTCACAGTCTGGGAAAGTGATCCCTTTAATTACGCTGGGCTTTGTGATCTGAGACACAGGGGTTTATTCATTTCAGACTAGCCTGAGATAATCCGAATTCTTCATTTCAGACTTGTGCAGCCATCTGGAACATGAATTGGAAAGTTCTTCTGTCCAAGAATACCTACAGCATCTTTTGCAGAGTGAAGCTGTGAACTGTGGGATACTGAAGAACCTTAGACTTGAAGACATCAAGGAAAAACAGAAACCTGCAGATCCACGAATAATCATGGAGCTCAGACACAAGCAGGTGAGCAGGCAAGACAGCACAGTTAAAAGGAATAAGGTGGAGGATTGTAGGATTAGAGTAAATGCTCAGTGATACTTCCCCAGTATTCTCTCCCAACCTGCAATAATCTCTGACTTGGAGGCAAATACCCGAGGATACTCTTCCACGGTTTAGCTGAAATGTTACTGTTTCCACATGCACGTTAGCCGTTCACAATAGCTTGCACAGTCAACTTTCATCTGTTCAGGTTTTCCCCCTTTCCAAAGACTGAGAGGAAAAGCCGCCGTGGCAGTCAGTTCTGAATTTGCTCCCATCAAGTAACACTGGTTTAACCTCACTCTCTTGAATGGATTTTTTTG